TTGGCTTTCCAAAATGCTGGAATTACAGTAGTGAGCCACCATGTATAGCCTGGATGTTAGCAGATTTGAGTTTCAGAATAAACATGGAATTATGATCAAAGTGTAGTCCTCAAAATGTGGTCTAGGAGCTGCTCTTATCTTACACTATTATCTATGATATGCCTTTGGGAAGAAATGACATATTTGGTTTTAAAAAATACCTATCATTATAAAGCTTCTTAGGTGATTTAAAAAAATACCTATCATTTTATGATTGTCATTAAAACACACACCTACCCACCCCTCCATTTTCTTCATTAAATTCTGATGAACTGACTTGATACTAGAGTAGGATGAAAGGAATGGTCACGGTTGTCTTATGATTGGGAAAGGCTGTGAACCTAATGGGACTCTTTCCCTGCTTTCTCTCTCCTGCATTCTTTTAATTACACTCTCCTAAGTCTGTAAACAAAGTGTAGCAACAAGTTAAGCTATGGAGTTAATAAAGCTAGTGACACATTTGAAATAATGTTTCCTACACATCTACCATCTTGAAAATAATAAAAACAAAACAGCCCCCACCCCAAATGTTAAACAGCAAGAACTACCTGAGACCCAGATCTAAAAATGCGGCTGATATTCAGCAAATACTAATAGGAAAATAACTTAAGTTTCTCCTACTTCACCTTTTGGCAGAATTATTGCCATAATAAAGGATATGTTTTCCCAAAGGCAAAAAAGAAAAAAAAAAAAAAAAAAAGACAAGTCAATTCTTTAAATCTTGAAACTAAAAATGTATCACTGCTGTAATGCATTTCCAAACATACTATCAGGAAAGAGAAAGAAAAAAACTAAGAAGCATTAGTGTAAGTGATGTTAAAGAAAATGGCAAGAGATGGAACTCCTGCCCAGCAATTCAAGAAGCAAAGGAGCTGGTGGGATGGACAGATTGTTCCTTCTGCATTGCTGATGAAAACAGGAAATTGAATTTCTATATATGTTTCTTTTTTACAGCTAAGAATAAGGCAGAAGAAGCACAAAGAGACTGGCTGAAGACAGAAATCATAGTGCTCTCCGAAAATCAACATCAAGAACAAAGAGTCCTACTCAGTCCTCTGCAGTAATGCAGTAATTAACTAGAGCAAACTCCCCATCTTTTCTTTAGGAATATCTTTGTTACTATGATAGAGATACTCAGTCATTCACTCAATTACCTATCAATCCAACGAAAAAACATTTATTGAGCACACAGAAGTGCCAGACCCTAGGTACCGTGTGTGTGTGGAGAGAAGTGAGACTAAAACAATACCAACTTTTAAAAAATCTTTCTTGGCCGGGCGTGGTGGCTCACGCCTGTTATCTAAGCACTTTGGAGGCCAAGGCGGGCGGATCACCTGAGGTCGGGAGTTCAAGACCAGCCTGACCAACATGGTGAAACCCCGTCTTTTTAAAAAGAAATAAAAATTTTAAATTTAAAAAAGGGAAACACTTTTTTTATAAATTAAAAAATAAATAAAAAATTTTAAATAGTCTAGTGAGAGAGATAAGAAAATCCTCTCAAAAATGAGATATCTGGGCTGGGTGCGGTGACTCATGCCTGTAACCTCAGCAATTCGGGAGGCCGAGACGGGTGGATCATTTGAGGTTAGGAGTTAGAGACCAGCCTGGCCAACATGGTGAAACCCCGTCTCTACTAAAAATACAAAAATTAGCTGGCGTGGTGGAGCACATTTGTAATCCCAGTTACTTGGGAGGCTGTGGCAGGAGGATCGCTTGAACTGGTAAGTGGAGGCTGTAGTGAGCTGAGACTGCGCCACTGCACTCCACTCTAGGCAACAAAGTGAGACCCTGTCCCCTCCACTCCCCGACCAAAAAAAAAAAAAAAAAAAAAAGAGGTGTCGCTAGGCATGGTGGCTCAGGCCTGCAATCCCAGCACTTTGGGAGGCCAAGGTGGGAGAATCGCAACAGCCTGGCCAACATAGTGATATGCCGTCTACAAAAAATTACAAAAATTAGCTGGGCATGGTGATGCATGCCTGTAGTCCCAGCTACTTGGGAGGCTGAAGGGGGAGGATCACTTGAACCCAGGAAGTTGAGGCTGCAGTGAGCTGTGATTGCGCCACTGCATTTCAGACTCAGCAACAGAGTGAGACTCTGTTTCCAAAAAAAAGAAAGAAAAGAAAAAAATAAAGTGTCTCATTGAGCTCAATTCTGCCCCTTTCGAGGAGGAAACCATACCCCTGGAGAGAAGGAGAAGGTAACAAAAACAACAAAAACATCTTAGTTGGAAAAAGCAAGCAACTTGGAACTGGATCTCAGTCTGATGACTGGCTCAATTCCTAAGCTGGGTGGGTGGCTTGAATACTGTTATTTAACATCCCTGCATACGCTGGGGATAGTAATTCCTATCTACCTAACAGAGCCGAAACTTAAACGGGAAAGAACATTGTAATATGCCTAAGGTCCGAGGAGCTGAATCAACAGAGAGAATCTGACAGTCAGCTTACGACAGAGGGAACTGTTGGTTTTGCCTCAATGGCGGGACCTACAAGGGACACAGAAAGGGATCAGTCAGTCTGAGTGGGGCCAAAGCTTTGAATCGAAGGCAGAAATGCAGTCGTTTTACAATTTTCTACTTTCCCCTCAACATAAGAGCAGTATTTAGATTCTTTCTATTGGTCATTATTGATGCTTCTGCGTGGGGGTGCTGGCAAACGGAACGACGAATAAAACACTGTATTTAGGGCACCTCTGCTGTGTGACCTTGAGCTCACGTTACGTCTTCGCGCTTCCGTTTTCTCATCGGTAACACGAGGATCAAAATTCCTTTTAAACTATGCGTCCAGTTTTTATGAAAATCCAACCAGAATGTATGCGAAAACGCCCTGGAAGCGCTAGAGCGCCAGGCAAGTATTAAGTTTGGTAATTTTTTTCTCCGTAAGAACTAGGCGTTCCGAAGAGGAAGACAACCTCTCTGCTTGCTTTGTCACCGTCTTTTCTTCTCGACCTTTATCAACTATGTAATTTTCAATCACAGTAATAGCTGACATCCTACTGCACTTTCTGGCACCAGATTCTCCGGCCCCACCCAAATCCACACCAACAAGACGCCGCGCCAGCTGAGACAGAAGGAAAACTTAGCCGTTCTCCACCCGCGGGCGGGACCTCGCCTATAGGCCCCACCACCCGGAGTCCCAGAAGCCAATCCCCAAAACCCTGGAGCACTGCCCCGCCCCTTCAAGAAGGAAAACAATATGGCGGCCAGAAAGAACGACAGGGGCGCGAGCCAATCACCGCAGAGGCCTAGCCTCATCCGGCTAGGCCCAGAGGCGGGATCATCGGCCAAGATGGACAGCCAGAGCAGCCAATAGAGCGATCGGGAGAGGGCGGGCTACAGGCTCTCACACAGCGGTTAAGGCCCCTACAGACAAGGGCCCAAGGACTGGCTTGGACTATAACCCTTCCCTTTATCCACTCCAGAGTTCTCCATCCCACTTTTGCTGGCTGGTTGCGTTGCTTGCAGACTATAATGAGGGGAGGAAGGAGGCGGCGGTGGCTGAACCCGCCTGACAGGCCGGGGCCAGTGACAAAGAACCGGCTGCTCAGGGTGAACCCGGGGAAGCGACCCTTTCGAGGAGAGCCCAAGTACCCCTATAGATAGGAAGGACGCAACTCACGTTGTCGATCACAACAGGCTGGTTGGCGATCACATCGTAGGACTCCATGGCAGAGGAATCTCTCCTTCTGGAGAAGGAACTGCCAGCCGGGTCCGCCGCTAGCGCCACTGACACGCATGCGCAGTCTAGCCGCCGGTTCAGGGCGGCGAGGGAGCGGCCGGACCTCGCCTCTAAAGAACTACAAACCCCAGCACGCCTTGCGCCTGTGTTAGCAGTCTCGCTTGCTTTGGTGACCGCCTAGTTTAAGACTGGGAGTCGCATTTCCGATGCACAGTACCCTGGGGTTTGTGGTCTTCCTAGATTAAATAGAGTCACAGGTTGATAGTCACGTTGCTTGCCTGGATCTGTAGTTACTTTGAAGAAGTTCGCAGTGCATGCTGAGGTATGTAGTCTTCTCGAGTACTTGTCTGTAGTTCGGCTTGGATTGGTCATAATAAATGGATGTTTGGATTTTGCAGGTCAGTCTTGCCACTCCCCCCAATGTTCCCTTAGACAATGTGAGGTTCTCATGTTTTTATTTGGGTCTATAAGACTCAAATACACATCTCCTAGCACCTCACACTCAAACAAGGAGATGTTACACACGCGAGAGGACATATTCCTACAACAAAGGAAAACAATTTGAGTTGCATAAAATTAGCTTTAATGAAAAAACCTGTGCATTGTCGTTGCTTTTTGCATTTTCTTTTTTTCTACATAGGTGTAAACTTTGTAACAGGCTACATTGATCCGAAGATTGGCAATTGGAACTACTAGTATAGGTAATCTTTTGGTCATTAAAACATTATCTAAGGGTTTCAGGAACTGTTCTAGTATCTCTTTAATTTTCTTGAGGAGCTAGAATTGACATTGACGGCTGAGAAAATGGAGGTGAAGAGAGGTTATGTGTCACTGCTTTCAAATGAGCCCAGTGCATTTTTTTTCTCCAGATTATTTCCCCCTCCCTTCAAATTGCAGGGACCTTTTTGTCAATAGCCCTAGAAAACATTAGATTTATTATAATCTGTTAAAACTAACGCCCCATAGATGAATGAATCAATCCATTGTCAGATTTATCTTTAAATCCTAGTTAGCAGAGCGTCAGCAAAACAGTAACAAACCCTTTGTTGGCTCACTTCTCGGTGCTTTCGTGGGACCCTAGCACCTCACAGGGATGCCTCACCATCTCTAAATTTGGGTTCCTCCTAACACTAGGGGGAGACCAAGAGCCTTGGAATACTCCCAACACGGGGGGAAGGCGGGGCCTATTGTCAACTCACGCCTTCCCCGCCGGTGACTGGCACAGACATTAGCCAATGGGTGCTTTGATAGTCCGCGCTGGCGCCCCGCCTCCCTGAGCGCCCCGCCGCCCCGAGGCACCCTCTGGCAGACTATGCGGCGGCCACAGCCTGGGCGTACAGTGCGCCGTGCGCAGGCGCGGAGCTAGACCTCGCTGCAGCCCCCATCGCCTCGGGGAGTCTCACTCACCGAGTCCACCCGCTGGCCCTTCAGTGCTCTCCCCTCGTCTGCCCTCCCTAGTTCCTCCAGTGCCTGCCCTACGCGCCCAAATGGCGGAGCTGCGGCCTAGCGGCGCCCCCGGCCCCACCGCGCCCCCGGCCCCTGTCCCGACTGCCCCCCCGGCCTTCGCCTCGCTCTTCCCCCCGGGACTGCACGCCATCTACGGAGAGTGCCGCCGCCTTTACCCTGACCAGCCGAACCCGCTCCAGGTTACCGCTATCGTGAAGTACTGGTATGCCCTGGGCCGCTGGGAGATGGACAGGCGCGGGCTGGGAAGGGTTAAAGCGCTGAGGGCGAAGTAATTTGTGGGAGGCAGGGAGGAGGGAAGGAGAACGGCTAAAGCGCTTGGAAGGAGGGCTTCCAGCTGCGAGGGAAGGGAGTTCAGGCTGAAGTTGGGAGTGGGGACAAAGGGGTTAACGGAGCCGTGAGTAGTGAAGGGTTAACCGAGATTAGGAGAATAGAGTGAGGACTGGGGGTGTTTGTAGGAGCAGAGGGGGGAAATGGCTTGAGCGAGGGAACTGTAAACGTGGTGAAAAGAGGGGGCGCCTGTAGGGGGTCATTAGTGGGCGAGGGGAAGCCAAGGGGGGGGCGACTGAAGTGGGGTAGGGGAGGCGAGGCGGGGCCTGGGGAGCATTTGAGAGGGCTTTGGAGGAGCGAGGCCGGAGAAGCTCAGAGGGCACGAGACTGCTTAGGATGGGGGCGGCTGGGAGCCCGGGGCTCTCCTGTGGGATTAGGAGGGCCAAAGATGAGGGCCTGCTGCTTGTGGAGAGATGAGGAAGAGGTCTCCTTTTGATACTTTCCCAATGAGCTCAAGACGTCGCATCAGGGCAAAGCTTTTGCTTTTGAAGTTTGACGGAGCAGCTTTTCCTGATAAACTTTTTGCTTCTTCTACACTGTTCTTCTCCCTGCAGAGCTTCCTCCTAGATCTGCAGCTGCTTTGCTTTAGGACATTAGGCAGAGAGAAGTATGGTTTGGCTTAGGATCGAAGGGGACCACAGCTTCCCACCTCCAGTGGGAAATAAATGATGGAGACCCTGGGATCCCAGCAGGGAGGAATTGTGCAGTGGGACATTAAGAGGCGCTTCCTGGCCATGGCCTGCAGTTCTTCTAGGGAGTTGAAAGTAACCCTCAAGTAGCTTTAGAGTAGGAATGGTCTTTTCTGGTTTCCCATTCCTGTTTGCAACGTTTCTTCCTGCAGCCTTTAAGGAAAACAGATGTTATGGGGACTCTAGAAAAAGAACCTGTCCTCATGGTCTTGCTGGACCAAAAACTGAGATATTGGTTGAAACTGTTCAGGACCACACTCATGCAGGCATTGTGTTAGATGATCTCCTTCAATGAGTCCTGAAACATGGTTTGGCAGCTGCTTGGGGTGCAGCCAAAGGGTAGACCTGAAGGGGCAAGTGGATATCTTTGCTGGTTACCTCTCCCTTTAGGACCAAGTCTTCCTCCTCATGAAAATCTCTTACTTCCCCTGGACATGGTTGTCAGTAGGCTGTGCAGGGCTGAGGCCAGCTGCCTGCGTCAAAGGGAGGATGCCAAAAGGCCAACAGCATGGAGGGCCTGGGGACCAGCCCACCTCCTCCTGGCTGCTTGGACAGAGGATGCCAAGAGGCCAACAGCATGGAGGGCCTGGGGACCAGCCACCTGCTGTCTAGGGAGGGTCGTAGGGAGCAAGCTCCTCTGTCCAAGTAGCCAGGAGGAGGTGGGACTGGTGTCATAGTGCTTTCTGGCCCTCGAACTGTTCTCTGGTTTAGAGGAGTTGTTGAAGAGGGCTTCTGAGTGGAAAGCGGCTTTTGCTAGCTTAATGACCCATTCTCATTGTGCCTCTATGTTTAACTATGTGTTGTGATGAACTTGTTGTCATGTGTCATGAGAAAACTGACCACCTGTGCTGGGCGAGGTGTCTCATGCCCGTATTCCCACCATTTTGGGAGGCCTTGAGGATCCCTTGAGCGTTCGAGACCAGCATGGGTAATGTAGCTAGACTCTGTCTCTGTTATTTGAAAAAAAAAAAAGAGAGAGAGAAGTGGGCCTGGCTCTGCTATGCTGTTTGTTCAGGCCTCATTTGAGTGTAAGGAGAAACCCCTGCACAGATTCAGGCAACTTTTCATGTCACCCAAATTGCCATAAAGGATAGAATTGTATGCAAAAGGTATGAAAGCGCCGGGTGCGGTGGCTCACGCCTATAATCCCAGCACTTTGGGAGGCCGAGGTGGGTGGATCACAAGGTCAAGAGATCGAGACCATCCTGGTCAACAAGGTGAAACCCCGTCTCTACTAAAAATACAAAAAATTGGCTGGGCATGGTGGCACGTGCCTGTAATCCCAGCTATTCAGGAGGCTGAGACAGGAGAATTGCCTGAACCCAGGAGGTGGAGGTTGTGGTGAGCCGAGATCGTGCCATTGTACTCCAGCCTGGGTAACAAGAGCAAAACTCCGTCTCAAAAAAAAAGGTATGAAAGCATGTACAAAAGATTAAGGGCAATTTTTTTTTCTTCTTGCTGCAAGCTTGTTAATCAGGCCATATCTTCAGAGATGGGCCAATGCATGATAATGAAGAAAAGGAATTGTGCAGCACTTTGTGAAAGCCCTGCCTAGATGCACAGAAATATAAAGAGAAACAGCACAGTGACTGGTACTTTCTTTTTTTTTTGAGATGGGGTTTTGCTCTGTCGCCCAGGCTGGAGTGCAGTGGCATAATCTTGGCTCACTGCAACCTCTGTCTCCCGGTTTCAAGCAATTCTCGTGCCTCAGCCTCCCAAGTAGCTGGTATTACAGGCACACACCACCATGCCTAGTTAATTTTTGTATTTTTAGTAGAGGCAGGGTTTCAGCATGTTGGCCAGGATGGTCTCAAACTCCTGACCTCAAGTGATCCGCCCATCTTGGCCTCTCAAAGTGTTGGGATTACAGGCGTGAGCCACTGCACCCAGCCATCAGTGACTGGCACTTTTTTTTTTTTTTGAGATGGCATCTCACTCTATCACCAGGCTGGAGTGCAGTGGCACAATTTCGGCTGGCTGCAACCTCCGCCTCCTGGGTTCAAGTGATTCTTGTGCCTCAGCCTCCCAAGCAGCTGGGATTGCAGGCATGTGTCACCACGCCCAGCTAATTTTTGTATTTTTTAGAAGAGTTGGGTTTCTCCATGCTGCCCAGGATTGTCTTGATCTCCTGACCTTGCCCGCCTTGGCCTCCTAAAGTGCTGGGATTACAGGTGAGCCACTGTGCCTGGCCTCAGCATAATAGTAGTGACTGGTACTTTCTAAGATCCAGAGGAGTTTGCAAAAGTGAGATCCTGAAATTCATTTATATTCCTCACATTTGGGATCCCACGAGTTTTCTAGCAGGATGACTGGCCTAGGCTGTCTGGGTCTGTCTGTGGCCCAAGGTAGCTTGGGATTTATTTTGCAATAGCAGGGTGGGTCTTTGGCTAGTGATCCCTAAGTAGTGGGGACATTCTGACAGAAATGTGAGACTTTGGTGAGCAAGGATCAAAGCAGAGAGGCAGAACCTGTAGTCCGGGCCCACTTCAGTCCTGCAGCTGCCCTGCGGAGAGAAGTTGGGTGTTCAAGAAATTAAGTTGAGGGATGCCCTGGGACTTTGGATAACATCGTTTGCTAAGTGTAAAATATGATTTTTTTCCACATACTCGTCTGGCCTCTGAGTAGTAGAACAGAATACTCTGTGCTTGGGTACAAGGTTAGTTTTGTCTGACTCTTGGTAGTTCCTTGCAGTTGGAGTTTTAAGGCAAAAACTTAAACTTGATCTGACATGTCGTGGGAGACGTGGTGAGGAGGGCTGCAGGGATGCAGCAGATGGAGCAGGGAATGGTGAACACAGTTTTGCAGCTTGGTGCGGGTTGGACCTAGGCTATAGGGGGACAGGTTTGGAAATTTGCAGCCGGAAATTGGAGCAGGTATGGGACCTGTAGTGGCTCCCATCTGCTCTGGAGTTCTGTAGCTCTAATGGGGTCTTTCCAGGGATCTCTAGTCTTTCCTTTCTTCCTTTGTCCCACAAACTTTTCTAAACCCAGCTGGTTGTAGAATTAGTCATGAGTTGGTGAAATCAGAGTTAAGGCAGACACAGAGATTTGTCCCTTTTCCTCAGTTGAGATTCTAAGCTATTTGTAGCAACTTTCTTACAAGTTCTATAAATAACAGCATTTCCTAGCAGAGAGCAGGGATTTCTGCAAAGGCAAATAATATCCTGGTAAAAGAGGATGAAACAAGACCTACTGGTTTTAAATACTGTTTAAATTGCCTGGTGCTGGCACCATTTGCTGGGATCACTTGTAACATGTCTTTTACTTGGTTGCATACTATCCCAGTTGCAAAGTGTACTCCATTTATGTCTCAGGGGCTGGTGAAGCTCTTGCAGTCTGTGGAATTGTCAAATGTTTGAGGCATCTCAAATGCTGTGTTTGTGGGCTAAATGCAGATTTCCTTCCACTGATGGTTTCTATTTAGTCTATTTCTCTAGCTACCAAATTCTCCTATCCATTCTAAAGGAAAACAGAATTTTTTTTTTTTTTTTTTTTTTTTGAGACAGAGTCTTGCTCTGTTACCCAGGCTGGAGTGCAATGGTGATCTCGGCTCCCTGCAACCTCTGCCTCCTGGGTTCAAGTGATTTTCCTGTCTCAGCCTCTGGAGTAGCTGGGATTACAGGCACCTGCCACCACACCCGGCTAATTTTTTGTATCTTTAGTAGAGATGGGGTTTCACCATTTGGCTAGGCTGGTCTTGAACTCCTGATCTCAAGTGATCCACCTGCTTCAGCCTCCCAAAGTGCAGAGATTACAGGTGTGAACCACTGTGCCTGGCCAAAACAGGATTTTTTAAAAAGCACTAATTACTAAAGGGAACTCTTATTGTGTTAAATCCTCAGAGTGATATAATAACTGAATTTCTCCCACAACTCCTTCTCAGTTGAATGGTGGGAGAAATTTAATGTGCTCCTCAGAGGCCCCAAATCATTTGCTGTCCTAGCTCTACCTTTGAGGTGGTAGTTTCTCCTGGGATCATTTTCTGCGTGCACATGCTCACAGGGCTCAGTTTGGCTCCTGCTGCAGTTCTCTGTTTAGAACTGAGCTAAGCCTAAGTTTGGCCTTTGTCACTTGCAATGATAAAAGACCTGCTTTAGTCTATGGGGTCCAGGCTGGTGTCTGCATGGACTAGAGGTTTGGGTTTGTTTAGAACAAACTGTAATTAACATAGGGCACAATATAGTCTTTCAGGAATTAGCTGTCTAACAGGCTGGAGTGGAGCAGAGCCTCTGCTTCCAGGAACAATGCCCATTGGGGATGCTAAGGATGGTCTTTCAACAGAGGCCAACTGATTGACTGATGTACCTCTTGCCTTGAAGCTTGTCATGTACAGGCACCATGGAATAGAGATAATCCCTGCCGATCTCATTGGGATTGGTAATTTGAAACAGGAAAAAGCAAAATGGACAACCATCCAGTCTGTTTCATTTCTGAAAGAGGCCCAGTCTTCTACGGGTAGGAGAAGGGAGCCTCTTTTGCTTGTAGAGTTGGGCAGCCTCACCTATGCAACCCTTGGTCTCATCCTGGAGAGGTGTGGCCTGTTTTTAAGTTACCTTTCACCCTCCAGGATGGAACCTTTAGATTTACGAAGTAGAGTGCCTTAACTTGACATTTTCTGATTTCCAGGCTCACACTGACACCCCTGTGTTTTGTTTTTTGCAGGTTGGGTGGCCCAGACCCCTTGGACTATGTTAGCATGTACAGGAATGTGGGGAGCCCTTCTGCCAACATCCCCGAGCACTGGCACTACATCAGCTTTGGCCTGAGTGATCTCTATGGTGACAACAGAGTCCATGAGTGAGTGTATGCCACCTGTTCTTTATCCAGAGCCTTATTTCTGAGGATTTCCTGAGCAGGGGTGACAATGTCATAGTGCTGTGAACTTGGTACTTCTCAGTGGACCCTTTACATTTTTGCCCTCTGACTATAGCTATTCATGCCAAGGTGGTCCTCATTAGCACCTGATTCCTGTTTGTCTGGTGCAGGAAAGTGCTGATGAGCAGGAGTTCCCAAATCAGGTTTTTCTAAGCTTGCCCTGAAGTTTGGGTTCAAAGGACAGGTAACATGGTTATGATTCAGAACTTGGGCTGATGCCTCTATGTCTACTTCCTTGTACTATAGCTCCCTCGCCGCCCCAGCTTCTTATGAAACATTTTAAACATACAGCAAAGTTGGAAAGATTTTACAGTGAACACTCATATACCAACAACCCAAATTCTACTATTAACTTAATAGAATCTGGGTTGTGGGTATATGAGTGTTCACTGTAAAAAAAAAAAAATATGCTTTTTTTTTTTCTTTTTTTTGAGATAGAGTCTCACTCTGTCATTGAGGCTGGAGTACAGTGGTGTGTCGTGGCTCACTATAGCCTCAACCTCCCTAGGCTCAAGTGATCCTCCAACTTCAGCCTCCCGAGTAGCTGGGATAACAGGCAAGCACCACCATGCCCAGCTAATTTTTATATTTTTTTGGTAGAGACAGGGTTTTACCATGTTGCCCAGGCTGGTCTCAAACTCGTAGGCTCAAGCAATTCTCCCACCTCAGCCTCCCAAAGTGTCAGGATTATGGGTGTGAACCACCATGCCCAACTCAGAGTTCATACTCTTAATGATTGTATTCTCTTGCCTCTTGAGCAATTATGTCCTGTACTCCAATAAGCTACCATTTATGCTTTAAAAAGGTTTTTTTGGCTGGGCACAGTGCCTCACGCCTGTAATCCCAGCAGGAGGCTGAGGCAGGTGGATCACTTGAGGTCAGATGTTCAAGACCAGCCTGACCAACGTGGTGAAACTCTATCTCTACTAAAAATACAAAAAATTAGCCAGGCATGGTGGCATGCGCCTGTAATCCCAACTACTCTGGAGGCTGAGGCACGAGAATCGCTTGAACCTGGGAGGCAGAGATTGCAGTGAGCCGAGATCGTGCCATTGCACTCCAGCTTGGGCAACAGAGTGAAACTGTGTCTCAAATAACAATAATAATAATAAATAATAATTTTTTCTATTTATATCTTTTGACGGAGAGTTTCTTTTATTCAATTTAAATGTAATCTTTCTATGTTCTTATTTTTCTGACAATTAAAAATAAAATAAATGTAGTCTTCCCTCCCCCTCATTAGCATGGCAATCAAGAGCGTATTTTGTCGTATCCTCTTCTGGTTTTTTTGCTTTTTGTACTTTTTTTGCCTCTTATACCAGGTCTTTTCTATCTTGGTGGTAGCTACTTAACCTGGGCAGGTTGAAAGAGTAGCAGGACCTCTCCTGTCCTGCCTTAGCATAGAGATGGATTCTGGAGATGATGATGGTATTATGAAGAAGATGATGATAACCTTTATTCCCTTTGTTTAGTACTTAGTCTCTTCATGTCATTGTGTTAAATGCTTTACAATCTTATCAGGTTCTCATTATTTCTATTTTATAGATAAGAAGTGAGTCTCTTGAGGGGTTAGATGAATTGCTCAAAGACGCTCTTTTACATCTAGGTATAAAAGAGCTGGGATTGGATTGGGCTGTTTGAGTCCAGAGTTTGAGCTTTTTTTTTTTTTTGAGATGGAGTCTTGCTCTGTCACCAGGCTGGAGAGCAAGTGGCTTGATCTCAGCACACTGTCACCTCCACCTCTTGAGTTCAAGTGATTCTTCTGCCTCAGCCTTCTGAGTAGCTGGGACCATAGACACACCACCATACCCAGTTAATTTTTTTGCATTTTTAGTAGTGACGGGATTTCACCACGTTGGCCAGGATGCTCTCGATCTCTTGACCTCTTGATCTGCCCACCTCGGCCTCCCAAAGTGCTGAGATTACAGGCACGAGCCACTGCGCCCAGCCTTTGTTTTGTTTTTTGAGACAGGGTCATGCTGTGCCACCCAGGAAGGAGTGTAGCAGCACAATCATGGCTCACTGCAGCCTCAACTTCCTGGACTCAAGCATTTCTCCCACTTCAGCCCCCCAAGTAGCCAGGACTACAGGCATGCACTACCACACCTGGCTAATTTTTCAAATTTTCTGTAGAGATGAGGTCTCACTATGTTGCTCAGGCTGGTCTCAGATGCCTGGACTGAAGTGAACCTCCTGCCTTGGGCCTCCCAAAGTGTTGGGATTACAGCTGTGAACCACTGTATTCAGCCTCAGAGTTTGAGCTTTTAATCACTGGGCTATTCCACCTCTCTGAACACAGGCCTAACCCAACTTCCTCTTCTCTCTTTTTAAGTCCAGAGGCCCAGGTTTCATCTCCTCACTGGTCACGTGTTGGGAGCAATGTCTATGGCTGCCTTTACAGCCTTCCAAATGGATTCATTGCAGTGTCAGCAGAAGGCTTTGGGAACAGGGAATTAATCTTGCCTGAATGGGGACCCTGCATTACAATATTAATAATGGAGATAGAATAGCAAACAGATGTAGGCAGTAAAGGAACTATGTTGGAATTTAATTTATATTTTTAATAAGAACCTGCAGAGAGTATTTAGTGCAGCTAGTCTGTACCATTTTGTTGACAGATTTATTCTGGTTAAAAGAATATCATTTCCTTTGTGGCTTAAGGATTCTTCTGGTCTACCTGCTTATAAGGTATAGGCCCAAGGCTCAAAATAACATGAAGACTGTAATTGAGCAAGCCTCATATTTCAGAAGGGGCAACCTCTTAATTTGAAATAGGAGCTTTCTTATTGTTTTTTTTCTGGCTTAATACTACCCTCTTACATGTGTTTCATTTCTACATGATACAGTACTTTGTATTTATGTCATTTATGACAAGAGTGAAACGTCTGCTTGGGTTTTCATGTCACCAATCAAGCCTAGTATTTTCCAGTATTACATCCTGCCACTAGAAGGATATGGAAGGAATGTTCTTAGATATTTACCCAGTTCTGATTTATGTTGCAGAAGTCAAAAGTACCTCTACAGGCTGGGCACAGTGCCTCATGCCTATAGTCCCAGCACTTTGGGAGGTTGAGGCAGAAGGATTGCTTGAGCCCAGGAGTTTGACACTAGTCTGGGCAACATACTGAGACCCGCCCCCCCATCTCTACAAAAAATACTGAAATGAGCCAGACATGGTGATGTGCATCTGTAGCTCTAGCTACTTGGTGGGGTGGAGGTGGGAGGATCACTGGAGCCCGGGAGTTCGAGGCTGCAGTGAGCTGTGATTGTGCCACTGCACTCCAGTTTGGGTGACAGAGCGAGACTCTATCTCAAAAAATAAAGAAAAATAATAAAATTCAAATAGATACTTGTATATTTGGTCTTATACTGGCATGACTGGTTTCTTTTTGATCCTGTTAAGTTTCTTGAAGAAAAATTTGATTTTTCCCAACATTTCATATGATGAGGCCTCTTTAAAATGACTTAATGAATCCTCATTTAACTTAGTATTCAAAGGTGAGGTCAGAAAGGTGAGTGTCCTGTCATCCAGCTGAAGTGCTAAGAGGTGCTGGGTTGGAATTACGGCCATTGGATCTCTGGCAACAATTCTTCTTCCACTGTCTTGCATCTTCTCTTCAACAAGAAAGGAGCAGAAACATTGGTTCATTTTTTTTAGCACACATTGATCAAGCACCTACTTTGTATCACACACGGAACATAATAGTCAATGTCTTGGGGATAAAATAGTAAAACATAGTTCTTGTCTGAAGGTACTCATGTTCTAGAGGGGAGATAAACATAAAAAGATTGTTATAGTATTGAGTAATAAATTCTACAGTCCATGGGTGGAGAACATGATCTGGGAACAGAGCAGAGGGAGTAACTTCTAGTTAGGCTGCTGGATTGCTAGAAGCTGCAGGGAGGAGGTAAAGTTCGAGAGGAACCCTGAAGGAAAGGGCCTGGGATGCCATCTGCGGCCTCATGCTCCATGATACCAGCATCACTTTTAGGAGTGAGAGGGACTTGAAAAACCTTCTAGCTCAGAGTTTCCAAAACTTCTAGTGCCACTTTCATAATCGTTGCCTCTTGTGGTGTTATTTACTTCATGTTATTTTTAAGTGATCCTCTCCTTTTTTAAACTGATAGGAATTTATTTTTATTTTTGAGACGGTCTCGCTCTTTTTCCCAGGCTGGAGGGCAGTGGTCATGGCTCACTGCAGTCTGAACTGCCCTGGCTCAAGCGATCCTCCCACCTCAGCCTCCCAGATAGCTGGGACCACAGGCATGCACCACCACGCCCTGCTAATTTTTTTTTTTTTAATTTTTGACACGAGGTCTCGCTATTTTGTCTAGGCTGGTCTCAAACTACTAGACTCAAGCAGTCCTCCTGCCTTGTCCTCCCAAAGTGCTGGGATTATAGGTGATAGCCATTGCTTCTGGCAACAGCATTTATTAAATGCCTGCTGTGAACCTCCTCCTATGAGGATCTTTCCTTCTCCTCATAGCCTGTTGAAGGCAGGGAGAGGCAGAAGCAAGGGATCCTTTGCATTTCTTTCTTTTTTTTTTTTTTTTTTTTTTTTGAGACGGAGTTTCGCTCTTGTTACCCAGGCTGGAGTGCAATGGCGCGATCTCGGCTCACTGCAACCTCCGCCTCCTGGGTTCAGGCAATTCTCCTGCCTCAGCCTTCCGAGTAGCTGGGATTACAGGTATGTGCCACCATGCCCAGCTAGTTTTTGTATTTTTAGTAGAGACGGGGTTTCACCATGTTGACCAGGATGGTCTCGATCTCATGACCTCGTGATCCACCCGCCTCGGCCTCCCAAAGTGCTGGGATTATAGGCGTGAGCCACCACGCCCGGCTCCTTTGCATTTCTTCTTGCTCCTGGCAGGCACGCTTCAGGGGCAGAAGGGACGCCCACCCTGGTAACCCTAAAAGGGGT